TTCGATGCGCAAAGAACTTTTAAGACACTTACTTCTGAAGCAATTTATTAGCACGAATCATGGAGTAGTATATACATTTATAAAAGTTATGCGTTGCACAATTAACTTGTGTCAAAGTGTAAATATACTATGGTTACAAATATTGCTAAAATGTGAATTAGAAATATTACAGGTAAACACATGGATACTTATTGTTTTATTTTTTAATTTCAAAGTCTTAATTGTAAACGACAAAAAAAGATAAAAGTAATGTGTGAAATATGGAGCCAATGTTGATGCAATAAATGTCACAACTCTGTAATTACCACATACTACATACTTAAATAAATTTATATCTTTAATGAAAAATTCTAAGCATGGAACTGTTAATAGATTATCAAAAACATATATTGAAATACAATGAATATGTGTTTTTTAATATAAAAATGTTATTGTAAAAAATATTTGTATACAGTTACATACATTTCTCATTTACTATTTGTAACGGTCATTCTGTTTATGGCGACGGACTTTGTAAAATGTTTATGCCTTTGTAGATAAAACCTTGAATCTTGAAATCTTGTATGATAAGAATTATACGATGATATAATTCAGAACTGTATTTTTTTGTTAAAGATGAGAAGGCGTGTAACAGCGGCATAGTTGTTAGTTACACTATAAAGTCATTAATAAAAAGCTATCGCAACACTACTTTGAAGTGGTTAGTTATGAGAGATTTAAAATTATAGTGAAGGATTTAATTGACTTCATACATTTGCCTTTGGCTATATTTATTGATTCATAAATGAGATTATCCTAAAAGTACTTCCGTATGCCTTAAGAAATATAAATAAATTCATTATTACAGGTTTGGCAATAATCCAATGACAAATATACTAAATGAGGAACTTAAATTGCTCTTTGATGCAAGACAAAAAGCACTCTTTATTTATATCCCTCGAAGATGTGCACCTAAAAACAATAGCTATGCCGTAAAGGAACAAAGAATAATACTAATGTCATTTGATGTCTTAATTGATTTTCATTTATCAATGCTAGACGAGTATAATACAGATTAGTCTACTTTGTTCCCGTAAAATGTAAAAGGCTTTAATTAACTAAGACTAGGTAATTGTCATTCTAAATGGATAACTAAAAGTGCTAATATTGATTGGATCCGATAAGTGGTGTTTTTTGGCATCCTCATCAATAAGTTTGTATTGAGTTGGAAACAGATCAACTTCAATTAGCTTGCGATAGACTTAAATTTACGAATTTTGTCAGCATAATAGTGCAATTACTAGAACATAGCAAGTGTAAGTCTATTTGTCAACAGCATTGTGACAGTGCACAGTTTGAAAGGGTAATAATGTAATGATTTATGTACTTTCCTTGCGATTTGCAATACTTTATAATATGACGACAATAAATGGCGCATTTTTTTTATAAAGATAATAGAAATAAATAATTTGTGCAGCTCATTTGTTTTGTCTTCTTAAAATTGATTTAATTTCATAAAATCAATATGTTTCACAACGTATCCATAATTATAATAATTATTTGTTGTGTATACAAACATGCCTATGCCATGTATGCATTAGATAAGTCCCCCGATTTTCTTTATACTCATTTGGATACTTCACAGACTAAATACCGCACATACCCATATTATTTAAGTTAATGCCCTTATGATGGTTAGTTATATATAAATGAGTATAATTGTAAAGAAGACGAAAACTCGTAAGAAAAGTTCTCATAATTGATGACCAAAACAACCGTCCACTAAGATTTAAAGATCATGTTTAAAATCAGGATCAAATTTTAAAACTGAATGATTCCTCATAGATGAAATATTTAATATTTACTTAATAATTTGAAATAGCCTGTTTGGGATTTTTAATAGATATCCATTGTAACAGTTGATGTTTTCTAAATATATTAGCATTTTACAATTGATACAAATTATTGTTATTGATGGATCCTAAAATAGATACTTATTTTGATATTCATAGATTTTATATCAAAATATCAAAAGGATTGTTTTTGCAAAACAGAAATATTTTACATAATGGTTATGTACCATGCAATTTAGCAAACTACGATCATTGTTAGTACTATAAAACAAACAAAAACAGGATCATTTTATCCTAATCTTTTGTTAGTGAGCACGGGGCCTGGTGATAAATCAATTTAATTTCTATACAATAACCATTTTATTTGTATCCCTTAACCGTCTTTTATTTATAAGAAATAACGTCAGATTATCATTATACACAAATTGGTTTATGAAGTATAATCTCAAGCTAAGCATATTTAAGCGCCTTAAAAAGAAATGAATACCCTGAACAATTATTTTTGATAACGCATCCAATGAAATTTAATACTTCAGTTAATGTGTAATCTATGCATTTATTCATGGAAATTATTTTCATGGCATTATACTGTGCTTGCGATATAAAGAGAACAACTAAAATGAGTGTAGATAATTTGCGTAGATGATAAGCATTTGCATGATTTGACCAAAACCACAATCAGGAAACTATATCAACAATTTTTTATCAAGTATTTAATTGATAACCTAAATTTCACTACATTTAATATTCCTATTTAGCATCCAAAATGCCGCTGTTTTATCCGCTTGATTTTAGTGTTTCTCCCCTTTCGTTTGCTGTGGAAGCGTCACGTGATCGTGCAGGGAGTTTAGAGAATCGTACAAAGAAAGTAAAATAAAGTGAATGTAAACTGTTTGTTTTTCTCTGTATTTTTTATATTAAGTATGATATTCTTGAAATCATTGTTTGCGACACCGAGCGTTAGTCCGACTGCAATGTGTTAAATACCAGGCACCGGTAAAGTACTTATTCAAAGGACGGTCTTATGACATACTGCAAAATTAATGTCAATATTGAAAACTCGTTTCCAATTTATTAACTGTTTATTCATTGTATCATTGTATAGATTTTTATGATTTTTTTTCAAACGCATTTTTGATGGCTGTCATAAATCATTTTAAAGCGATTTATAGCAATGCCAGAACTTTTATTTTATATTGTCATAATTGAAAGCTAATTTAAATCTTTATGACTATAAATATTTTATTCCTGAAATGCTAATAAAAGTAAAGTATTTACGATCAAAACATTTGCTTTCTCACTACATTGTTTGATCTTTAAATCAAACGAAAAGTACAAACAATTAAGAAGGCCATTTTAACATTTTCTGTACAATTTGGATGACGGTTAATCTGTTAATGGTCCTAGACAGAGTGAAACAAATCTGAGGATAACACCAGCAAATTAATTGTCATGACAAAATCAATTTATACTTAAAAAAATCCATATTAAATTTATCCGATTAAATTTACTTGCTGTGTTTATTTTTTGTTTGTTTCAAATATCAATGTTTCTCATATCACAGCGAATGTATAAAATGAAATAGTGCAAATAAAACAAACTACAGCCACTTATAATATTTGTTTATAATAGTAATTTGTTTTGATAAATGATATGTAAGAATTGTGTGTTTTGGGTAAAGATATTCTAAATTGATTAAAGATTTGTATTGTTTTGCGTTGCATTTTGCTTACTGTATTACCGTTCAATAAATAAAGCCAGTATCAAATGTTCTGGATTTCTTGTACGGAATGAAGGTTTATGCTTGTGGTCTGTTCAATCCGAAAAGTATTTTTTTTTAAATGATCATTTTAGGAAAAGTCTGGCGTAGAAATATAATTGTATGTACAATATTTAATTTGTAAAATAACTTAAAAAGTTAATTTTATCTGCCTATGACAAATTTACATCTTGTAACTGGAGATCTTACACATTCAACATCAAATGCGTATGTCTAAATATTCATTTTATTTAAAGTTGGACGTTATGGTAATGAAAACCATGAACCATATAACGTTTGCTTTTAACCCATTTGCGCCTGTTGTCTACTTTTGTAGACACTAGCAGTTATCAGTACACTAGGACCTAATTATGAGCGCTTATTTGTTTATCATTGTTATTCTATACTTGTTGTCATGATAAGCGTTAATTGGACTATTTTGCTAGACAAAATGCAGACCACTACGTTATTTGCAGTGTGTTTTCAACAAGAATGTGATAAAAATTGCCTTGAAAATATTATTGAAAATGGCTAGCAGAAACAGGTATGTAAAACTTTATATTGTCTTTATTTTATATCATAAAGTATGATTGTTTTATATTGTATAATTTTATTTCTGCTCAATTCCTGTTTTATAATTCAGAAATATGTATAAAATGTGTTATGACAGTCAATTTAGATTTTGTCTACAAAAGTAGACAATAGGATCAAATGGGTACGTTTTATCATTATGAAAATATTTTGTTGTTTACAGAAGATACACAGTAAATGAAATCATATCAATGCTTGAGGATGAAGGTAACTTTGAAAGGGCAGATATACATGTTCATCCACCTCCTGTAGATGAGCTGACAGATGAAGATAGTGCAAGTGAAGATGAAGAAGTAGGTTACAACAACCTCAGTGGACGTCAGTTAGACCAACAAGCAACAGCGACAGTTATTTGCCTAGATGGACGTCATGTTGTTTTGCTTCAGCATCAGACTCCGATCTAGTTAGTAATAAATAAATAAAATAAATAAATAAAATAAATAAATAATAAATAGATAAATAAATAAATACGAAGCAAGTAAGTAAATAATGTACAGTAAATCCAGTTGAGAATAAGATTTTTTATATTTATCATATTTTATTTTTCAGGAAACTGACCATTCTTCAGATTCTTCTGATACAGATGAATACGAAGTGCCTGCAAATATTGCAAAAAGACCTCAAGTAAGAATTGCACTACGGGATCCAGCTCCGCGTCCCAAACGACCTGCACCAGTAAAGAGGAAGTGGGAAATAAAGACCTACCTGAGCAAGATAAAGACAGATTCACTTGGCATGGCTCAAATATAGACAAAAGTCGATGGCCGCAAACACCAGATGGCATCTTCAACTTATTTTTTGATTATGACGTGATCAACATGATTGTTGAACAGAGTATAAGATATGCTGGTTCAAAAGGCAACCATTCGTTTTCAACTTCACCCCAAGAAATTAGGATCTTCCTAGCAATTCTGCTTATATCAGGCTATAACACTGTGCCAAGACGGAGACAGTTCTGGAGCCGGGATGATGACCATAGGAATGAGGCAATAGCTCATACAATGCCGCGAGACAGATTCGACATATTGGTGCGATATGTACATCTTTGCGATAACAACAATCTTGACAGAGAGGACAAGTTTAGCAAAGTAAGACCACTGCTATGTCTGCTGAATGAGCGCTTCTTGTTATACTTCTTGAAAGAGAAAAACCTTTCAATCGACGAAAGCATGATCCCGTACTATGGGCGACACGGAGCGAAACAATTTATTCGTGGGAAACCAATTAGGTTCGGTTATAAGATGTGGGCGTTAACGACAGCACTTGGATATGTTTTACAATTTGAGCCCTATCAAGGGCAAAAGGCCACCAAACCCATGATCCTGGCTTCCTTGGAATGGGCGGAGCAGTAGTTATGGACCTGCTTTCAGAGCTGCAGAAAGATGATGCATACCATCTGACTTTTGATAATCTATTTACTTCCCTGAAGCTCGTGGACCGGCTTACAGATATGGGAATATCTTGCACAGGAACCATCCGTGCCAACCGAATAGAAGATTGTCCTGTCAAAAATGTAAAAGACATGGGAAAAACGCAACGAGGAAACTATGATAAAAGGTATGACGCACACAAAGGTCTGATAGTGGTGAGGTGGAATGACAACAATATAGTGAATGTGGTGTCAAATTGCCATGGAGTTGAACCATTGCAACAAGCAACACGGTGGTCAAAGCAGGCAAAGGCTAGGGTGCGCCTTCCGCAGCCATACCTTATAAAGCATTACAACCAGACAATTGGAGGTGTGGACAGGATGGATCAAAATGTTGAGAAGTATCGTATCTCTATCAGATCCAAGAAGTGGTGGTGGCCAGTGTTTATGTATTGCATTGACCTTGCGGTGCAGCAAATCTGGCACATTTACCGTGCTACTGATGCAGGATTGAGGCAACCATTAGATCTGTTAGGTGTCAGACGAGCTCTGGTTACTGTGCTGCTTGCTCAGGGGCGTACACCTGCTGTCAGCCCTGGCAGACCAAGAGGTAGGATGAGGCCATTGTCAAGAAGAATTCCAGACCATATCCGACTTGATGGTAAAAATCATTACGCAGAGTCAGCAAAAGAAGTGCGCTGTTCATAGTGTGGAAAAAAATGCAGGACACAATGTTCCAAATGTAATGTTGGAGTGCACAGGAAATGCTTTGAAATGTTTCACAGTGTTTAAGTATTCATACGATCAAAGCCAAAAGACATGAACAATAATAATTCATATCAGAATGAATTTCAGAGTGAACACTTCTGTGCCTAATGTCTACTTTTGTAGGAAAAGTAATAGAAATCTTTGCCTGTATAAACTTTAAGGATTTTTTCAAATAAAAGTTATCAAATAAACCAACAATAGGTTATCTGGACATATATTCTATATGTGTTTTACATATACCCATTTGCGCCTGTTGTCTACTTTTGTAGACAAAATATTAAAACACTAAAATAAAAAATACAGTACTTATATTTGAAAAATAAACGGATATATGTTATAACTATATGGTTACTATATGTTTTATACATTTCTTATATAAAAATAAAATTCCGGCACAAATGGGTTAATATATATTAAAAAAATTAAAAGACATTGAACCATGTACAAAATTTGATTGAATTTTTTGTTTCGTTTTGTTACGAATACAATTCCGGAAAATAATGCAAATTTTCAAGTATTTTATGCTAGTAATGAATAATTCGATAATTCAATAAGAACGACCTTTTTATGTTTCAGGTATAAACAACTTAATCTCTACATGACCAAAAGACACTATTCTGTAACATTTTATTGTTGCCGTTCCTGAAATGGTGTGTGACAGCTGTAAACAGTTGCCCCTTACTCCCTTCAAAGATTTTATATCCAATTAAAATTGTCTTTGTGATAATTGATTCAAACAAGTTGAATACCGCTTGTAATGGTGATAGAACGTTTGAGACATGTTTCGTGCTTAACATTTTCTCTCATGAATTCAATCAAACTGCTCTACAATGTTGTAATGACACTGTTTTATATTATTTTTTTTTCGAAAAAACATGTGTTTGCCTTTTTTATTCTTGACAAAGTGTTTTACTGCATATGCTTTATCGCTTAAAATGAGAATAACATTTCTGTTACAAGATACTGTTAAAAGACATTGGACTGTAAAAATATGCTAATTACATACATGATTGATTATACCAGGACAGCTAAAAGATTTCTTGATATCTAAATAAGATAATAGTACAGTTCGTATAAACAGAAGGTACTTTATGAAAAGGTAGGGTCATTTTACCATAAATTCTTAATACAACAAACATACTAGTTTTTTTTCTTTAACCTGAATATTAATTACTGTAAATTTAGTTTACTTAAAATGTAAAGATATCATCTATATATGTTTAAACGCTTTTAATCTATGGACATAAAATAAAAGCTGAGGTAATTAGTATAAACAAATATCTTATATGACTGACATTTAATGATAAATATGGTTAAGAGATGTTTATCTATACCAATGTGTTAAAAAACGTCAATGTACTAGCTTAAAATGCCTTTCAAGTAATGTTTAATCATTAACCAAAACTAATTTCACCATGAACAAATGACTCGAACAAATTATTTTCTATGTATACACGATCTGAATGTTATTAAATTCTATATATAATTCTTACCAATCTTTGCAATGGTACAGTTGTAAACAACAACAAGAGAGCAATAATAACAAAAAAGATAAAGAAATTTTTTCAACGGACTGTAAATGAAATACCCTTAAATTTCCCGATGCTGTAAAGAAACGGTAACTTTAAAATACTTAGTCAGTAACAAACTATTGTTGTAGTTCTCTACTTAATAGTTGTTACAATATATTTCATATTCAGGATGTCAGCCGTAAATGTTTCCATATTAATTTCACAAAACAGTTCATTTGATTTACATGTTCATTTGATTTACATGTTTTCATGACTTTTACTGAAGCAAACCCATCCTATCGCACATTTATATATGTAATTGTTTTAAGTTATATTTTTTATGTATTTTTTCAAATATAGAGTACCATAGACATTTTTTATTTTCAGGAAAGCATATTTCTTAAGACTAAAAAATGTCAATTTGCATGATTGCTGGCTTTTCTTGAGATACGTTTTCATATACCAGATGATGTACCTGTCAAATAAGCGCTCATCAACACGACTTAAAAGATGTTTACAGTGCAATGAAAATAAATCACACAAAAAGTCGCTATAACGCACATGTGGAATACAAAATTTACTGTTTACATGCGTGCTGATTTATTTTAGTAAAAACAACATCAATTTAAAAGGTTTTACAATATAAAGGCACGTGCAACTGTACAACGGTCGAACCCAAGATATGAATAGAGATAAACAAGTTCAAAAACAAGCTTTTGTGATAAATGTCATTCTTTCTTCTCTGAAAACAAAACAAACCATTGAGTTCGATCTTTGATCAGATAATGTAACCCGATATAGAAGCTGACATTATAACATCAGGTCGTTAACATGACATTAATTGGAACAGAAGAAAGGAAAATAAAAGTAACTATTTTACGATAGTTTATTTCGTCTGATACATAATCCGAAAATAATCACTTTTTTACTGCTCCATACAACTGCTTTTGCTGCATGTTTTACTTCAAAGTTTTTTTTTAATTGTTTGTATTAAATATATAACTGAAATAAAATATCGACCAAAGAACCATTATATAAATACTCAGTTATGGTCCCGTCGTGGACAAAAATTATTGAAAAAATGAAGCAAGTATTGAACGATATGTAATAAGCAAACCTTTTTTAAAAGAATGAAAGCACTTGTACTTAAAACTGTATCAAAACATTAATGACGTAAAAATGGAAGACAAGATCATCAAGGAAGGCGGCGATCAGTGAACACAACCCCCATACGCCCAAGCAACACATGACCACCGTCAATGAGCCCACGAGGACACCAACCAAACAAAATCAGGTAAAATACGGCTAACAAGATCAACAAGGAAAAGAGGCGTTCAATGATCGCAACCCTGACTTTAGCGACAGCACCGTTTTACCGGGCATTTGCTAACCTAGGCCTTTCCTGCAAATATTTTGTAGAATAAAGTCCTTACTTATTTAGAAGAACTGACACAATAATCATATTAATAATAATAATAGATAATATATCATATTCTAAAACTATTAGTGTTAATACATATTGAAATCAGACACGGAATGCAACCAGAAACCGTAAAAATCCCTTGGTATAAATACTCATTCATGGTTTTTTATTGATGTTTACTACCCTATGATATACCCCTCCTGCTTGTGATAGTGTCATCCCGATATTTCATCATACCCCTTACAAAAACGAATAGCAAATACATAAGACGTCGGAAAGACAACAAAAAAATTACGCAACAAGAGTCAACAAAATTTACACATGTCAAGTAACAAACAAACAAATAAACATAAGATCATTTTTAACATAGAGAAACGTAATACATTATCTGACACTAGTATTCAGTCATAGATTCTAGTAAGTTAAAACCGTCTAATAAAGGCAATAATTACAGCACATGCGTTCATTTGTTCGGGTAAGTATTAACATCCATAGCAACAAAGGCAAAAAACTAGAAACATAATCTTAAGGGATTATTTAGGAATTCTGTATTTATCTATTTTAACCGAAACGGTAGACTGATCAAAACAACAAAACGTAGTTTAATCAATTTAAATAAAATTGCATAGACGTATGTGTACCAATTTGTGTCAAAATACTTTATCTACAATATGTCAAAATACTTAATATACAAAAATGTTCACACAACTTTGTATGAAGACAATATCAACAATCTAAGTATTCAATTATTTAGTATACAATAAAACGTCACAAAAAATAGCGAAGTTTTTGAACCGTGTTCCTTCCTTTCTAACTTCGTACACATGTATGTTGTTGCAATTTTGTCAGACCACAAAAAACCACAAGGGTATTGGTCTCATCGGTTTCAATATTTTGAGTTTCCTCTTATTGTGACATTGGGAACTAATCCAAAATCTTTCGGGTGTAATGCAGTGCTTTTAGCAGTTTTGTCATATGATTCTTTTTTCGTAATACCCGTTTACTAGGCAACCTCTCTTGCCTTTTCATATGCTGCTCACGCAATTTTACATCGTTCTCCTTTTGTGACTTAATGTCAAGTTGTCTTTAGGCATCCCAGAAAAAGCACCAATAACAAGACTTTGGTGGTAGTCAAACATAAAAAGTATTGAGCAAACCCTATACTTTTGTGATGGACGACATTGTATGCATGTAACATCGTTGTTGCATGCGCATTCAAGTCGCTCTTTTGAGGCTCCATTACAGTCTTTAACATATGGCACACATGTGTTAAGAGCAATC